CGTGGCTCCAGTGGTCCAAGTCGTGTTCCAGCCGTGGAAGGTGCTGTAAGTCACTGGCAGAGATGTAGGGACGCTCTCAGAGGCGGTGTCAGTGGTCAGGCTGACATCGTCTGTGGTGGAAGCCGTGGTGTAGTCTGTGGTGGTCAAGGTGTTTGGCAGCGTGGTAGGAACGCTCTCGGTCTCGGTCTCGGTCAGAGAGGTCGAGTCAGTGGCCTCGGAAGCGGAAGTCGTGGTAGCTGTGTTGATCTCGGTGCTATCGGTGGAAGCAGTGGACGCATCAGTGGTAGCAGAAGACTCAGTGGCAGCAGAGGAGGTTCCAGTGACGGAAGCGTCGGTACCAGTTGATGTCTCGGTGGTGCCGGTAGCAGAGTCAGTGGTGGCAGAGTCAGTAGCAACAGACGAGGTCTCAGTGCTGGAGACATCAGTACCAGTGGTGGAAGCATCAGTGGTGGCAGTTGAGGAGTCCGTGGCATCGGTGGAGGTCTCAGTCACGGAGCTGGAGGCATCAGTGCTAGCATCGGTGGTAGTTCCGGTGGCGGTCTCAGTAGTCGAGGAAGCGTCGGTTGAGGAAGCATCGGAGGTAGAGGCCTCGGTAGATGTCTCAGTGGAGGACTCGGTGGATGTAGCCTCGGTAGAAGTAGCGGTAGTCGAGGCATCAGAAGAGGTGGTGGTCTCGGACGAGGTAGCGGTCTCGGAGGTCGAGGCATCAGAAGTAGTAGAGGCATCCGAAGTGGTGGTAGAAGCGTCAGAAGTGGTGGTAGAGACATCAGACGTGGTAGTAGAGACATCGCTAGTAGTCGTAGACTCGGTAGAGGAGGCCTCGGTGGTCGACGAAATCGCACTCGTGGTAGTAGTAGGGATGGGGTCGCATCCGTACTCAAGAGCATCAACGGCATGCTGGTTGTAGGTCTTGCCGTCGACCCAGTTAGAAGCACCACGGGTGAGATCCCACAGAGAGAGACCGGCAAAGTGAGGCTTGTCCTTCAGCTTGCAGACGAGTTCCTTGAGCGCGTCAGGCTCGAGGTATCCACTGCCGGCAGCGTCCTTGCTGGCGGGCAGTCCAACATAGATCTTGGCCCCCTTGCTGGCTTGACTATCGTCAACAATGTCCGCCCACTCGTCATAGTTCATCCGGTCCCAAGACACGTTAGGGTCCTCGATAGCATCGCAGTAGCCGTTGTTGTAGAATTGGATGAAAAGGGCATCAAACTTGGCCTCGTTGATCATCTGCTTCATGTAGAAGTACTCGTCGGAAGTAGGGCACTGGGGAGCACCAGTGATGATGACGTCGCTCTTGAGTCTGCGGAGCTCATTGATCATGGCGATGTAAGGACCGTTGGCTAAAAACATGTCAGTACCTGGGGAAGCCAAACCGAGCAATTCAGGAGTTGGGCTACATACGCAAGTCGTGCTCGATGTCAAAGTCGAAACCATCAATAGCAGGTCGGGTGCTTCCATCGTCGGCATCAAAGGGACGGGGACCGTTCCAGTTCTTGTCATATGGACCAAAGGCACTCCACAGGAAGTCGGCAAAGTCGACACCCTTCTGGTCAGTCGTCACCTTGTAGTTGCCACCGTTCTCGTTATAGACACCGCCGATGCTAAGGAGAACCTTGACACCACGCTCCTGGCAGTAAGGGATGCCCTCCTTGATAGGGTAGCACTCGCTCAGGAGGTCTCCTCCGACGTCGTCTTTGTTCTTGTAGGTTCCAGCCCAGCAGTGTCCGGCGAAGTTGGTGCCAGGGTAACCAGAGTTTGTGTTCTCAGGGGCTTGGTTAACGAAAGACAGTGTCACATACTCGGGACCGTTGTCACAGTAGCTCTTCAGTGCCTCGTTTCCGAGTTGTCCCTATCGATGTCAGTTACAACCCTCATGTTTTGGTGACATCTGAATACATACCCAGTAACCGTTAAGGCCACCATAGGCCTGAACGAGGCCGGAAGTAAGAGAGAGAGCCATTATGCTTGGAGAATTAGAGTATTAAGTAATAGAGACTGGAATGTGGCCGAAGCCGTAAAGAGTGTGATGCAGTGATACTGAGATCAAAGAAAGGACGCAAACCAAAGTTTGCAACAAGGCCTAAGACGAGCCGTGTCTAGGATTGACAGAGTCAACAGGTTTGATAGACGACGCAAAGGTAGGAGAGAAAAGGAAAAGGAAAGAAAAAAGACGTTCACCGTGGAGGCGGCGACTAGGAGGGTTTTCCTCCAGACGGCATCTCTCCTCTCACAAGCCCAACCTGCAGTCCGCAGCCATAGCAAGCGGCGGTTTCCTATCTGGGCCATGGCTTGGACCCTACCCGTCAGGCTGACTCCATTCAGAGAGGAGTCTCCCAAGGGAGTTGGATGGGGCGCAACCAGTGCCGCCTCCGCCGCCAAAGCAATTTCCGACTTGGAGCGGCGGGTGTGAACAGCCTCATGCAGACTTCTGCGGGCACAGCGATAGAACCACAGGCTGCAGCTGCTGCCATGTTCAGGAACAGGCTTAGCGTTAGAATGATGGTGGCGAGAGACTATTGGGGCAGGGGGTGTATAAGCCGCGTAGCCGGGGCCGCCAAGGTGAGAATGGGGGACGACGACAAGGTGGATGGTGAAGTCGGCCGCCAATTTGCCAGCAGGTGGTGTCATGCTCTGTGAGGAGGGTAGAGATATGGGAAATGGGACAGGCAGGAAACTGGAGATTTCCATCTTGGCGAGGGAGGCGATTCCCATCCTTGGACGCTTGGGACGACGCTTGAGGCCTTTTCGGACACAAGGTGACGTCGGTTATGGACATCGAGACAGTGCCTGTAAGCGAAGCCCGTAGGGCTCGGGTATTTTCTCGAACATGTTCCGAGGATGAGACAATTCGACTCCTGTAGAATATGGGTGTCTCGGTTGTGGCTTCAAGCTTCAGCAGCTGAAGGCCATCTCATCTGTTAGTGAACACTACCGGTTTCTAACGCAGCGGTCAAGGCTCTCCTCTATTGAGCTAAGCCTCCAAGTGCGAGGCAGACTTAATAGTCTCGCGCCATTAAGTCCTAGTCTTCCTCTCCCAAGCTGTGATGAAAAGTCTCGACAGTTACAACAGCGGTTGGTAAGACCGAGTCACTGGACATGACCCCTGCTGCACGTGGGGCCACGGGATGTGGGATGAAAAGAAGCCACAGCGGCTCGTGCGCTAGTCCCTGAGCTAGCAGCAGCTCCTGCGTCTTCCACCGCCCAATGCCATGTTGTAACGGCCTCCATCACGCGCCGTAGGGCTAAACTGTTAGCGGAGATGGTGGGCTAGACTCGCCAGGGGGAGAAGAGCAGGCTGGCTGATTTCCCCTTCTAGACGGAGTTTTTTTTTCAGGATCATCCTTGATGATATGGCTCGTGCAGGACGGAGTGACATTTAGACGGGATTTGCAGCGTTCGGGGCTGTTCTCGAGTGCATTTTCCCCTAATGTTTAATGCTCTGTGTAAGTTGGTTGGGAGCATCAATACCAACCCCTGACTGGACCACCCACCGCGTCTCATTTGCACCGTCAGGCAGCCTGCCCCCTTGGGTGGTGAGGGCGTCCGAGTTAGGATATTGCCGATCCGGGGTCCTTCCCTGCGCTGGATCGTCACTTTCTCGCTTTCTTCCGGATCGCCAATCGACTCCACGGGCTGCTCTGTCACTGTCACTCTGACTGTCGCTGTCACTCAAGCCTGACACCATCATGAGTCTCTTGCTGCGCCGCGGTTAGTGCTCGGTCTGACAAATAAAGCCCTTGCTCAGGCCGCGAAACCGTGGATTCTGTGAAGCAGGGGAAAGGGGACGCGTGGGCTTTTGTCGCTTTTCTTCTTTTCCCGCCTCCGGTGCCAGCCCTCTGCCTATAGTCTGACAATGGTTTCCACCACCAACCAACGCCGTCGTCGGGCGTGAACCCACTATTTGACGAATGGCTTCGGCTATCTTCTGGAAATGAACACTCTTCCATTTCTTATTTTGCGCTGTACTCTTCCAGTAGTTCGAATAGTTGGGAAATGATCGTCCCGACCAGCTGGGCCTTGGCGCAACACCATCTCTGCTCATTGACAGCGGATGTTTTCTCCCACCACACCGTCTCGCGCCAAAGTTGACCAAAGTCGACGGGTTACCCTGGGCGGTTAGGTGTCGACGTTCTGCCAAGCTTTACCCCTGGCCAGTCTTTATCTTTTTGGCTGCTGTTGGTAGACAGATTGAGTGCTTTTTTGATCCAGGCTCTCGCCCGCTCTGGTTTACACCCTGATCTCGTTGCTTCTTGTATCGATTTCTTTCAATAACCTTTCTTTTATTAGACTCGTGGCTGCCTCTCGAAATTTCTTCTCTTCCAGGCCCATTTTGCTCCCGTTTAACCTCGCTTCCCATAGCTTTGCTCTGAACTCGCAACCTCACCTCCGTTATCGCTTTCGGGTTTCAACTCGACCAACACTGCAGCATGGGCAATCACATAGCAACACCACTAACGACCTTCCAGGGTCGGTAATCCATGGGTCCCACGAGTTCCCAGGCACCTCTGGCTTCTGACAGGCTGACGTACGAGCTGGAATCTAAGCGATCACGCCAAGCCGGACGTAAACCGGCCTTTACATGTGCCCTGGCTCTAGGGTGGCATCTCTTCAACAAAACATCATGCAACCCCGAAGTCATCCTTGTCTTTAACTGGTGGACTTTTGCTGAGCAATTTGGCTTGCATCGATATCTCTAGATTTATTACCCGACATCCATTTACTGTTTGCTGTTTACTGTGGATGAATCCATCGGTGTGGTTACAGTTATCAATCTCATCTACGCCACAAGGATGAACGAAATGGCACTTGACTTGCAGAGCACGCACACAAAGGAAGAGGAAAAAATGGATCAGATCATTCTTTACAAGACTCTATGTTTTCATTACACTCATTTGCGCTAAGTACATTTAGACGCGCTCATCAAACGCCAGTCCTTTACCCAATGCTGCAGGTGCAGCAACGGCCCGATTCGGACGGATATCGTTGCCGACGTCTTGCCTCTAAGCAGTATCCAAGACGATGACCTCTGCATCGGCGCTTCCAATGCTCTCTACCGACAGCTTGTCGCCGGCGTTGACACCCTCAATAAAGGCGCCGTCGCCCTCCGAAAGCTCGGCATCCTCCCGGCCGTCAAGTCGGATCTTGGCGTTTCCTCCCTTGGTCATGGGCAAGTGCACATAGACCTTTCTCTTTGCCTCCTGGGTGGCCCCTCCTCCAACTGTCCACTCAAATGTCTTGCTGGGCTCGATGATGCCGGCAGACATGACAAAGTCAGCGTGGATGGGGATGGTGTCGGGGAGAACAGCCTCGGCGTCCTTTTCCTGCTGAACAGTTGCCTCTTCGCCTCCCTTGAGAGGGCTCAGGATGTTGACGAAGCCGAGTCTCTTGGACTCTTCGCTAAAGTGGCGGGTGTGGTATCGGGGAGTCAGGCCACGCTTCCAGGGGATGGCCCAGATCTGGAGGAAGTGAACGGTATCTGACTTGTGCTCGTTCATCTCCGAGTGAGCAATACCAGTTCCTCCAGTGGTGAACTGAACATCGCCACGGTGCATACGATAAAACTTGTCCGACTGGCCTCCCTCTTTGCCCTTGGCAAGCATTGAGTCTCGGTGTGTAAGCTCTCCACCGAGGATGTAGCTGAAGATCTCAAAGTCGCGGTGAGGATGCGTGGGGAAACCCGAGTTGGCCTTGACCCGGTCCTCGTTCAGGACGCGGAGAGAGCCAAAGTGAGAGAATCTTGGGTCATACCAGTCAGCGAAGGAGAAGCTGTGGTATGTGTTGAGCCAGCCATGGTCAGAGTGACCCCGGGTGCTGGAGCGGTGGGGGGTGATCTTGGCTTGGCGGAGAGACTTGGACATGTTCTTTGCGGTGTTGATCATTTGATTCTCAGAAAGAGTTGTGTTTGTAGAGGTGTTTGGGTAGATAATGTTTACAGTGAGTTGCTTGATGCTTGAGAGGTAATTTGCTGGTGAGTAGATGATGATGAGGATGGAAATTGTAGCTACGAAAACCGCAACCAAGGGACTGAAGCGAGACATATATAGACGATTTGGACGAACTCTCGAGAACGTGCCTGCAGGAGAATAAATTCAATTCACGATGATTGCCAACGCTGACGAGATATAGCTAAAGCATGTCGGCAGTCTAATCGACTTTGTCATTATTGTTCATCCTGTGTAAGCAGGCTTCGGATTGGTCAATTGGAGATCTTGGGAAGGTGTGGGGTAAGAGTTTGGGTGATTACTCAAGCTGACAAAAACCGATAAAGCGAAAGATTTGCTATCTAGTCCGTCACGTGATGACGATCAGCGAATCCGAGGTCCTTTAGATGTTCACGCAGCTGAAAGAAGGGAGACTTGGTTGAATAGCGTCAACTCTGATGCAGAGTCGTCAATGAACAGCGAACCAAATGTCAAGATCTAGGCTTTGAACAGAGATTATTGAAGTTATGTAAGTGTTCTTCATGTCCTATTTTTACCAACCTATTCTTCTAGGCTATGTTCTGTGGCTTGAGCCAAAGTCAGTTGGTGATTGGCCCAGCACCATGTTCCTCCCCAATCCTTGCTCGGCGCGCGTCACCTCTTTCAATCATCGCCATCCCAGCTTTGACTGCATCTTTTTGCATCTTGCGTCTGTCCCACCAACAGATTCACAGATTCATGGCCTGAGCTGAGTTGGTCTGAGCCGACGACGCTATTTTGTCATCTCCCGCTGCTCCGGTTCTTTCCTGGGCTGAGCCTGAGGCCTCATATCATTGCTACCCGCCCGCTTTGCTCAATGCTCTCAACCCAACTCAGCTTTCTTTGAGCCTCTACCATTGCCATTGATATCTTGGCCAAGGATCATTCGAAAACGACCGACGAAGATTCCAGACACTCATTCCCACAGGTCATGGACCGCTGGTAATAACACAACTTGACCGACAACCTGAGAAACATATCCATCATGGCTGCTGGTACGCTTCCCTGTCATGACCTCCATCATGCTTGCCCGCCATCCTATCCTACATTCTCGAATAGTATTCGTCGACCAATCTACATCCGCAGAGCCAATCACATTATTACTTGAATAGGAAACTAACTCTTCTGTTCAGTGCGCATATGTGTTTGCGGTGACGAGAGCACTGGGAAATCCAGCCTCATTGCCTCGCTGGTCAAAGATCAGTTCGTCTCCAATAGGATACAACCCGTCCTCCCCCAAATCACCATACCCCCAAGCATCGGAACTCCCGAAAATGTCTCAACTACGATCGTCGATACCTCTGCTCGTCCACAAGACCGAACCACTCTCCGTAAAGAGATTCGAAAATGCAATGTCATCCTCCTCGTCTATGCCGACCACTACAGCTACGAAAGGGTTGCCCTCTTTTGGATGCCTTATTTCCGATCACTTGGTGTCAATGTCCCTGTTGTTCTCTGTGCCAACAAGTCCGATCTTGCTGGGCAGGGAACAACACCCCAGGTGGTTGAGGAAGAAATGTTGCCTGTTATGGCCGAATTCCGCGAAATCGACTCTTGCATTCGTACCAGCGCCAGAGACCATCGCAATGTGAACGAAGTCTTCTTCCTCTGTCAAAAGGCTGTAACTCATCCAATCGCTCCCCTCTTCGATTACAAGGAGGGCCATCTTAAGCCTGCCTGTGTCAGTGCCTTGATGCGCATCTTCTACCTATGCGACAAGGATCAGGATGGATATCTCAACGAGCAGGAGATGCGAGACTTTCAAGCCCGCTGTTTCGACAAACCATTGACAGCAGACGACCTAGACAACATCAAGCTCAGTATCTCCAAGACATTACCCACTTCTGATCTGGAGAGGGGGATCGACCTGCCTGGCTTCTTGCAGCTGAACAAGCTGTATGCTGAGAAGGGACGCCACGAAACTATTTGGATCATCCTTCGGAAATACCACTATACCGACAGCCTGAGCCTGGAAGACAAGTTTATACGGCCAAAATTCGATGTCCCCGAGTATGCATCAGCTGAATTGAGTCCTGCGGGATATCGATTCTTTGTCGACCTATTCCTTCTCTTTGACAAGGATAACGATGGTGGTCTCAACGATCGAGAGCTTGAGGCCTTGTTCGCTCCAACTTCAGGCCTCCCAAGCTCATGGACAGATTCGTCTTTCCCCTCTTCGACAGTCAGGAATGAAGCTGGCCATATCACTCTCCAGGGATGGCTTGCCCAGTGGAGCATGACAACCTTTATTGAGCCCAAAACCACAATCGAGTACCTGGCCTATCTCGGTTTTGAGCCACCAAACCCCAAGGATCCAATCACTGCCGCATTGAAGATCACCAAGCCTCGCAAGAGGAGAAGACGCCCTGGCCGCGTTGAGCGCAACGTTGTATTGTGCTATGTCCTAGGCGCCTCAGGGGCAGGCAAATCTGCTCTGCTGGACTCTTTCCTCAACCGTCCCTTTGATGGTCTTTACCATCCCACTATCAAGCCCCGCCGAGCTGTCAACAGTGTTGAGCTCCCAGGCGGTAAGCAGGTCTATCTAATCCTCGAAGAGCTCGGGGAACTAGAACCCGCAATCCTAGAGAACCAGGCCAAGTTGGATGCCTGCGACCTCATCTGCTACGCCTACGACTCCTCGGACCCAGACTCGTTCTCGCATATTGTCAACTTGCGCTCCAAGTACCCACACCTAGATGAACTACCCTCCATCTACACTGCGCTCAAAGCCGACAAGGACAAGACCAACCAGCGGAGCGAACTCCAGCCAGATCAATACGCCTCTTCGCTCAGTATGAGCCTGCCATTGCACGTCAGTGTGACTTGGGGCAGCATCAGCGAACTCTTTGTCGCATATGCCGATGCAGCCACGAACCCGAGCACAGCGTTTCCCAAGAGCAACGAGGAGGGGCCAGACCGAACAAGTCTCTATGTGGCACTCGGAGCAACAGCTTGTGCTGGCGTTGCTGCGTTGATGATTTGGCGTCGTGCAACTAACGCTATTTGATGTACTTGTCCATCTTGGGAAACGAGATGCCGTGCAAAATAGAAGCTCGAACGAACACTTCGTTTGCCTGCCATGTTCTCAGGATAATATCAGTTTTGGATTGATGGCTCGGGAAGAGAGGGAAGGCCTCTATTATGACATGTTGAAATTCGCCATTCAGAAAGTAAGAAAGACTATGATACCCAGCTCCGTCGTTCTTTTAGCGTGGTAAATAAAGTTGTAATAAAACCGCCATGCTTTTGTTTACTTGTTCCGCTTGCTCTCGAGACCATTGCCGCCTATATCCGTGTGCTTCGTACCATGACTTGATGAGTTTACCCGCCGTCCCTGAGTATTAGACCTTGTAGAAACAGAAGCCAATGTAGAAACTGGCAGCCTCCATCTCCTCGTCCGAGACAAGCAGAGGGCCACCACCACGCTCACGAACCCCCATGCGCTCGCTCAGAGGACCCAGATCGGGGTCATCCTTCTCAGCCTCCCAGATCTCGGGGAACGTGCGGTGGAACTGCAACTCGAGGTTGTAGTCGTCGGCGAGAGCACGGAATGCCTCCCACGGGACGACATACTCGGGAACCTCCTCGACCGCTTCGTCCAGAAAGAAGTTATATTTCCAGCCAAAGGCGGGACGGAAGACGCCATCATCGGGTGTCTTGCCTGGGAAGCGCACGCGGTATATAGTGTTGCCCCATTCGGCAGTGGGTTCGGCTTCGCCCTCTTCCAGCTCGCCGTCTTCGGGTTCAGCAGCGGGAGGCGTCGTTGAACCATCAGCCTCCTTTTCCTTGGCCTCGCGCTTGGCAGCGGCCTGCTCATTGAACTTGCGGACACGCTCACCGAGCACGTCCGAGTTGGGGATGCAGCCGATGAATCGGCCTCCCTTCTTGAGGGCACCAGCGACGTTGCGTAGCATGTTCCGCGCGTTCTTCTCCGACTCAAAGGCGTAGTGCATGGAGAACATCATGCTGACGACATCAAAGCCCCGGCGGTTCATAGGTGAAGGGTCAAAGCCCACCTGTTGAATGATGTCGAGATTCTCGATGGACTCGCCGAAGCAGTCCTTGACGTGGAATCGCGCATCAAACAGACGAGCCGGTGGCCTTCGGTGACCTCCTCGTCCTCCGCGGCCTCCACGGCCGCTCAATGCTCTGTATCTTTCGCGAGCTTGGTCGATACTCACGTCGGCCGGGTCCAGGCCAACGTAGAGCTGAATGGGCTGAGGGGCTTGCTGCCACTTGTTCAAGTCGCCGCCCTTTCCGCAGCCCATGTCAAGCACGAGCAATTCTTTGCCGCTGGAGCGGCCCGCCTCGCGCGAACCAGGCGTGTGGTCCTCATCGGGCGAGTAGCGCTGAATGATGCAGCTCTTGATCCAGTTGTTAAACACGCGCAATCCCTTGATTTTGCTGTCTCTTGTTCTCCAGTCGCGCCCTCTCTCTGGAACATTGTTGTAATGCTGTCTCACGACATCGTTGATGCCCCGGATCCTGCTCTGTTCCTCCTCGGCAGCCTGCTGAGCAGCGGCTTGGCGCTCTCGGTCGATCTGACGCTGTCGGATGGCCTCTCGCTCGGCCTCTGAGATTCGCGCGCGCGCGCCGGGTCGCTTCTGCTTCCGCGGCTGATCGGATGGCGAGAGGGCGCGTCGCTTGGCGGGTTGAAGTTCTTTGGCGTTGTAGGGTTGGGGGAGATCGTCCTGGGGTTCATCGTTGGCAGGGCGCTTGCGATGGCCCCGGCCATCAGCGCCCCTGTGGCCAGAGTCTCCAGCCATTGTGGGGGTCTTGGTTTGGAAATTCCGGTTTGATTCGGAATATGGGGGGTTTGTAGTGTTGAAGAAGAAAAATCGGTTTTTTGGTGGTTGAAAGAGGGAGAAGAAGTGAGGTTGACTTTAGGTACAAGGCGC